GGTCGCCGGGGCGCCCGAGCACCGCGAGGAGGTCTCGCCGATGGACAGCCAGCGTTCAAGTCGCTGGCCCCGCAAGCCGCCGGGCGGCATCAAGCGAGGGAGGGGGGGGGGGGGGGCGCGGCTGCTGGGCCGCAGCGCGGCGATATGCGCCCACTCCTACGGGCGAGCGATGCGTCTTTGCCGCCCCCCGGGTCGGTGCCGACCCGTTTTGCGTCGATTTCTTTCATGGGGCGCCCGCGCCTGCAGGGCCCGCCGAGGGCCGCGCCGCCGGGGTGCCGCGAGGTGGACTGGGCGGCGCGCGACGCGGTCAAGCCCCACAGCGACCCGGGTCTGAAGCAGAATGGGGCGAAGCTCGAGCTGCCCGGCGGTCTCCGAATGCCCTGGCGGAGGCAAGATCGCGCGTCTGAGGGCGCTGCCAACGGGGTTCGCCCGGGCCGCCTCCTCGGGGTTCGCGCGGGGTTGGCCTCCCGAGGGCGCTGTCCACGGGGTTCGCGCGGGGTTCGCTGCCCGCGGGGTTCGCCGATGGCGCACTCGACCTTGCAGGGCGCCATGGGGGGCGCAGGCGGGCTCCAAGAAGCAGGCCGTATTCAGCGCGGGTCGGTCGCGCTTCAGTGCTACGTGGAGTCGTTGTTGTGCTGGATCTTCATCGACGACTACGCTGGGTTCCGATTCGAGCCCGACGGGGTTGGGCGTCGCGGCGCTGCAGGCGAAGGCGGACGGAGCCGGGGCGAAGCGGGCCCTCGAAGCAGCGGGCCTGGCGGCCCACAAGGAGAATTTCGGGGGGGCCTGGAGCGCTCGCCGGGGGTCGCGCTCGGCGCGAGCTCCAAGGCGGCGCGGGCGGCGGGGGGGGAGCTGCGCCCTGCGGCCCGGGCCGCAGAAGCGTTGCTCAAGCAGGCGAAGGCAGCCCCCGTCGCAGTGGAGTCGCTCGCGGGGCCCTGGGCCAGGATCCTCGGCTGCGCGCGAGACGCCGCGAGCGCGCCCCGCCGCGCGAGCCGTTGGGCGCAAGGGCATCGAGAACAAGCCGAGGCCCCCCGCTGGACGAAGTGCTCGACGAGTTCATTGTGGCTGTCTCGCCCTCGGCGCCCCGCGGCGCGCGCCTGGGCTCCGAGCGGCGCGAGCGGGCGCCCGTGACTGACGCGGGCTATCAGCGTTTTGGCACCGCGGCGAGCCGAGCTGACGTCGACGAGGCGAGGGCCCCATGCGAAGGGGGGCGCGAGCTGGGGCGGTCGACGAGCTCGCGCGAGTCCCATTCAGAAGCGGAGAAGCGGGAGATGGAGGCGGAGACCCCGGCATACCAGCACCTGGCGAGGGAGGGGGGGCTCGCGGGGGGGCGCCCGGGCTTTTCGAGCTCTTCGCGGGCTTGGGGCGGCTCTCAGGGGCGATCGCGATTGGGGTGATATCGCGCACCTGGGGCGTCTGTTCGGGGGCGCGGCTGCACGGGCCCACTGGCCGGTCCATCTGGCTCCGCCGCGCGCGACACGGCGGAGGGCGCGAGCACCTCGCCCCCGCGCCCGGGGGGAGGCGCTGGGAGATCAGGGCCCCGGCGCGAAGGACCACGAGTTGGCGGACGAGGGCGCCGACCTAATGGTGACAGCGGTGAGAGTGGTCAGTAAGTACCTGAAGCGGGGGGCCCCATTCGGTTTGAAGAATCTTGCGAGTTCGCCCTGCTGGGCGCCCCCGCCGATGGAGATCACGGGGCGGGAGGGCGTCCGCCGGGCGGGCCTGGGCTCCTGCGCGCGCGGGGCGGAGCGGGGGAAGCCTGCGCGGACGCTGGCGAAATCGTCGGCGCCCCGAGAGCTGGGTCGCAGATGCAGGGGGCCGACCAGTCGATGTTCCACGACCAGGGGACCATTGGCCCCGACGAAGAGGCGTGCCCCAAGGAACTCAAGGGCACGAGGAAAAGGTCGGGTGGCGCTGGGCGAAGGTAGCCCGCCCGCACCCAGACGAGCTGCACGAGGGGCACGCGAGGTCGACGGCGCAGATGGCGCCGCGGTGCGCGAAGCCAGGCGCGGCGCCCAGGACGGAGAGGCCGCTCTTACTGGGTCCGCGGAGTCTCTCGGCGGAGAAGGACGTTCCTGACTCGGCGGCGCGCGAGGACATCCAGCACCTGGCGGCTGCCAGAACCCGGAGTCGCGACGAGCGCAAGAATATCGCTGAGCGCCGCGCGGCGCTCATGGCGCTGCGTCGGCTGGCTCGGCGCAGGCGAAACTGGGGCGATAAGGTCGCGATCGATGCCGACAGCCTGGTCACCCTGGGACGCCTGGGCGAAAGTCGTCCGTCATCTCGGGCGTTGCTGAGGCAGGCGCGAGCCAGCGGCACCTTGCAGCTAGTCCCAGGAATTCGGCCGAGGTCCCACTGGGCAAGTTCAAAGCGAAACGCGGCCGATGGGCCGTTGAAAGGCGCGCCGGCCCGGCCAGACGCTGCGACCAAGAGAGGGAGGCTGAAAGTGAGGGGCTCGCCCTGAGGTGCGAGGGCGCGTCTGCGGGCTGCAGCGGGGCACCAGCGATGCGGAGGACGGCGTTGGCGATGCTGCTGCGTCTGACTATGCGCGCGGACGCAGGGTGGCAGGATGAGCGAGGACATCAGACCCAGCGTCTACATGTAACAGAAGAGGAATTTCCCCAAGCCTGCGACCACGTTCGCCCCTCTTCGCAAGAGAGGCGTTCGGGCGTTGCGCTCAGACGACGATCGCCTTCCCGGGGGCTAGACAAAGCCCGCCAAGAAGCTGCTGGTGCACAAGGTCACAGACATCGCGAACAAGATCTATGTCAATTGGGCCTGCGGCCTACGAGCTGCTGGACGACGTGCGTCTGCGCGGGGTGGCCGTCGAGTCCCATGAAGAACGGGATCGCGCGCTGGCGGCCTACATGTCCTGCCTATGTTGTTGCGAGCGGTAGGCCCGCACCTATGTGGGGGCATCTGTCGCCGAGTTTCGTCATTCATTTTTCCCGAACGCAGGAGCGAGCCCCGCTGGCATCGCGAGCCCCGCCGGCGTGGCAGACGTTCAAGATGGCCCAAGAAGGCGGCAGCTTCTGCGGCAAAGTCGCGGGGCCCCTTGCGGCGACATGCTGGCGCGAGGCAATATGATAGCGGCCTGCGTGGTATATTTGTCGCAGGACACGTTCTGTTGGGAACAAGGCCGGGTGTCGCTCTGACTCGAGAGCCATGTTTTCGACGGGGGCGACCTGGCCAGTGTTCGGAGACCGACGCCGAGATGACGATGCGAAAACGGGCTCGAACCAGACGAGGAGAAGCTGGCGTTCCCCATCAGCGTCGCGGAGTACAGGAGGCAGTGGACCATCGGCGCGCCGACGCTTGGCCAGAGCCACCTCGGCGCGCCTCGCAGCATGAATCGCACCGCGACCATCGAGATCGCAGCGAGATACGGTGCGCTGGAGACCTGCCGCAGGCGCGGACGCTGGGTTGGGTTCTCATCAAATGAGACGTATACGACAATTTACAAACAAGAATTTGACGCTCGCGCCTGTTTGTCAGTGCAGCAGCCATCACAATACCAAAATTGCTGGGTCGCTCCTCATTTTTCATGGAGGCTTTGAAGGGCCCCCGAATGCTCCCGTCTCGTCGACACTGTTGAGCGGGCTCCAGCGTTTCCTTCTGCAGGTTGCCTCCTGTGATCATCGGGCTGACTGCGTGCACCTGGCCCTTGGGAGCGGACCCAATCCAGCGAAAAATTGACGCGTGATTTCGCGCCTGTCCGGAAGAGGAGGCCTAGAAGAAACCGTGAGTTTTCTGTTTTGTTTTGGCCCCTCCCGACCCAAACCCCGAGAAAGAAGGGGGCGCAATAAACCAGAACAGGAGGTCAGGGTGACAGCAGGACCCTGCTTAACTTGCGTGTTTCGCGGGCCCGTGGTCCGCCTGTCCCGCTTATCAAGGAGCATTGAAACTGCAGGGGTTGTTTGTGAAAGAGGCACGTGGCATCGTCGGAAGCTCGCGAGGGGGACAGGCCAGAGTTCTGGCCAGGAGTTTTCGGACCCAGGGGTTGGGATAGTATATGCAGTTGAACTGTCTTCATTTCTCTTGCGTCCCTGCGTGACCTGGCCGTCTGTTCCAGAACCGTGTTTGCTCAAGCTCACCCGCCATGGAACCCATTTGTTCAGTTATAGGCAAATTCGCGAGCAGCGGATTCAAGGTTGACAACAGGGCCATGCTGAGCTTGTGTGTTTCGCGCGGGCCCGTGCTCCGCCCGCCCCACTTCCCAAGGAATGCAGAACCCTCATGGCCTGCTTGTAAAAGAGGCGCGTCACTCATTCGGGGACTCGTGAAGTAGAGGAGCTTAAACTATGACCAGAAGTTGTCGGACCAAGGGGTTCAGAGATCTGTCTCTCTCTCTCTCTCTCTCTCTCTCTCTAGTATTCTCGTTCTCTCTCTCTCTCTCGTTCTCTCTCTGTCTTATCTCTGTCCCTCTCGTTTATTTCTATATATATATATCGTTATCATTATCTCTTTCTCTCTCTCTCTCTTTCTCTGCTCTCTCCCTGTGTCGAACCATATCATTATGTCTCTCTCTCTCTCTCAGTCTGGTTGTGTCTCGATATCTATGTCTCTCTCTCCCTCTCACTCCTCTGTCTCTGCCTCCTCTCTCTCTCTCTCTCGCTCTCTCTCTCTCTATATATCTTTCTTCCTCGATCAATACGGACGCTCCCCATAGTAAGGACGAAATGGTTGTGCTAGGATGTTGTTGCATACTTGGCTTCTCCTTGGCCAATGTCTTGTCCAGCTCTTGCGAATACCATTACGGCAGGCTGCGGAATGGTCACCAAAGCGTTTTGTTTCGCCGTCTCTCTGTCTCTCTCTCTCTATCTCCGTCTCCTTTTGTAGTTTTTTTCGATTTCCCCGCACCGCACAGAGTTGGCATTGACAGCTAGAGTTTCCTCGTATTGATCATCCTCATCCTTCTCTCGCCGTTCTCATCTTCATAGTCCGAGGAGATGTTCAAGGTGAAGTCTAGAATATCCGCCTTCAAAGGCAAGCTGGAGAAGGCTGGCACCCTGCTGCAGAGTGGAGCGAGGCATGCTTTGACAGGGATACCATTCGAATGATGAGGGAGAAAAGGAGGGAGGAGGAGGAGGAGGAGGAGGAGGAGAAGGAGGAGGAAGAGAAGGGGGAGGAGGCGGAGGAGGAGAAGGGAGAGGAGGAGGAGATGAGGAGATGTTGTTTTATGACTTCTATAATAAAGTCCCCCCTGGGGTTCCGCCAACTACTCTATCATTTCCAGCAAATCCCCGGTACCGCCCTCCTGGGCAGAGCCCCGGGAGAGCTTGAAGACGGCCCAGGACGCCCCCGAGACAGCCCAAGAGTGCTCCAAGGCTGTCCAAGCCGGACCTCTGACGGATCCAGAAGCCCCCAAGAGCATTTAATATCGAGTCCCCCAAGAGGTCTGGGGAAACCCTCGAGATACTAAAGTCATTGAACCCCCCATCAAAAAGCAACGGTTGTCTGTCTTCTCGCACTTCCGCCTCCGACACGCTTCCGAAGCTTGCGCAAGCCCCCAAAGAGAGCTCCAAGAGGTCCCCAGGAGGCGTCCCGAGCGGCGGGAAGTGGCCCGAAGAGGCTATTAGAGGCTCCCCATGACGCCCGAAGAGGCAGCACCGAGGCCAAAGACGCTCCGAGCAGGCCCCAACGAGCTCCCGGGAGCCGCCCTGGAGGCATCCAGCGCCGAAGAGGGCCCCGAGAGGCTCTGGAGAGCTCCCAAGAGGCCCCCAGGAGGGCTCCAGGCCCGCAACAGCCGCTCGGAACGCATCTTGGGGGCATCTTGGAGTTCTCTTGGGATGCATGCGCTAGCCTCGGAAGCGTCTCTGAGTCAGAAATGCGAGAACACAAAAATCGTAATGTTCCTAGTGTTGCAATGATGTTGGCCTCTCGAGGGCTTCCCCGGAGCTCTTGGGGGACTCTTGGAGGCCTCGTGGGGCGATCTTGGGGGCCCCTCGGGGCCTTCAGAGCCAACTTGAAAAAACAAGGGATTATTTTGTTTGTAAAGTTCGCCCATGCCCGTCCGTTCTCTCCTGTCCCAGGCTCTAGCGTGCCCCAGAGTGCGCTTCCGTCTCCCATCCTTCGTTGTCGGTTATATGTGTTTGTTTTGTTTTCTCTCTCTCTCTCTCTTTCTCACCTGGTCTTGGTTCTCCTCCGTCTTCCGTTCCACATCCTTCTCCTTCCTTCCTCCCTCCTCCCCGCTGCGATATTTTCCCTCCTCCCTCTTCTTCGTCTCTCCTTCACACCTTCCTCTCTCCGCCTCTCTCGTGCGTTTCCGCCTCCCTCCTCCCTCATCCACATCTCTCCTTTATTCCTTCCCCCCTCAGCTGCCCTCACCCAGCATCCTGCCCCACTGAGTGGTAGGAGGCCCAGCTACGGATAAAGGGAAATCCCTCAAATTCAGTTTGTTCGACATCTCGAGCACAGACTCCAAGAGCCCTGGGGGGGCCCCCGAGGCACACCCAAGAAGTCCCAAGAGACCACCAGGAGACCCCCACCAAAAACCGAAGAGACCCCCTCCCCCCCAAAAAAAACGAAGAGACCCCAGGAGCCCTCCAAGAGCGTTCCCCACAGGCAGCCACCAGGATGGTTATCCCAAGCTGTTAGGCGTTCCAGGGCGCCCCCCCATACGTAGGCTGCCCTGGGTCCTCCACGTGGCTGCGTTGCGCGCGTTCATGGGGCCTTCCTGGGCGCTTTCCGGACAACAGCAGGGGAAAATCGCCCAGCACGCATACCTATGGCGCGAAGTCGTGTTGGACGTCGCCTCCATTAGAAGAGGGAGCCGCGTCATCTGTCTGGTACCGTCTGTGTCGTGCATCATCTTAACGCTTCCCAGCAAGGCGCAGTACGACTTAAGGGATCTGCAGGGCCGCGCCCGGTACGCCTTCGACTGAACGTGGCATCCCTTGGATGGTTTGAGTTGCCCAATATCATTGGCCCCCAGGGTTTCCAAGGGACCTCCAAAGCACCTCCGAGATTGTCCGAGGGACCCTCCAGACGCCAAGAAATTCTTCGAGTTCGCGAAAGACGGTCCACAGGCCACGTTCCTCCCGAAGCCTCCCAAAGGTTCCCGTCGGGCAGCTGCTCGGTGTGTCTGCTCACAGCAGCCGGATATCTTGGGGCCTGCTTTCAACGACTCCTTAAGCGTTCATCAGGGAGCACGCTCCCAGATGGTGATCCATGCGGCATTATGTCCATCCTCATCCAGTCCAGTAAGTTGATTTGGAATCGCTAGAACCTAAGCGCGCGCGAAGCGCGCGCGTGGTTCTAGTGTGGTTGCGTGTGTATCTGTATGTATGTATGTATGTATGTATGTATGTGTGTGTATGTATGTATGTATGTATGTATGTATGTATGTATGTATGTATGTATGTATGTATGTATGTATGTATGTATGCAGGCAGGCAGGCAGGCAGGCAGGCAGGCAGGCAGGCAGGCAGGCATGCATGTATGTATGTATGTATGTATGTATGTATGTATGTATGTATGTATATATACATATAACGGCGCACCGGGTCCGGGGGCCCGGGGCCGGGACCCCGACCACAAATGTGGGCCCCGGGGGGCCCGGAGGCTCGTCGGACCGCCGGACGCCGTCCAAGATCGTTCGCAGGCGGCTTCGGAACGCGCTCCGATGGCTCCAGATGCCTTCCAAGACGCCTGTCATGACACCAAGAAGGTCCCAGAAGCCTCCAAGACGCTCCGAGAGGCAGCCCAAGAGAGGCCCAAGAAGCAAAAATCGTGCCATTCCTATGGGAAAACGTATATTTTTCGCATGTTCGCCTCTTGGGCTTTCACCGCGTCCAAGACGGCCCAAGAGGCGCCCAAGACCGCCCCAAGACGGCCCAAGAAGCTTCCAAGAGGGCCCCAGGACAGCCCAAGAGGGCCCCAAGACGGCCCAAGAGGCGCCCAAGATGGCCCAAGAGGGCCCCAAGACGGGCCCAAGAGGGGGCCCAGAGGGGGACCACGAACCGCAAGCTCGAGCCTTCCGCCCCAAGAGGCCGCCAGGAGGCCCCAAGGAGGCCCCTCAAGAGGCCCCAGGAGACCCCCAAGAGGCCCAAAGGAGGCCCCGAGAAGCCCCAAATCGGCCCCCAAAATGCTTCGAACCTGCTTCCAGGAGGCCCCCGACAGGTTCAGAGGCTCCCGAGAAGCTACGTCAAACTCCCAGCGAGCGGCCGGACGAGGCCCCCCACAAAATCACAAGAGGGTTCCAGTATTTGTATCCTTCAGCGCTCTCTGGCCTTCTTCCCCCTGCCCCCTTCCCTGCGACTTTCGTTGACTCAAGCTCGCCTCCTAGCTAGAACCTAAGCGCGCGCGAAGCGCGCGCGTGGTTCTAGTATGTATGTATGTATGTATGTATGTATGTATGTATGTATGTATGTATGTATGTATGTATGTATGTGTATACATATATATATATATATATGATACGTCCACGTATGCACCAATGGATTGGGTGCCCAGGCCCAGGGGCGGCCCACTTCTCCACAATTCACACCTCCCCCCTGCAGCCCCGCTGTGCCCCCGTAGTCCGGGAGCTCTTTGGGAGCCTTCGGGGAGGCGAGTTCAGCCTCAAGAGGCTCAAGAGGAGCCTCTTTGGCCGCTAAAAACCTGGCCCCAGGCGGCGCTCGGTGCGGACGGCCCCAGCAGACCAGAGGATGCCCAAAGAGAGGGTCAACGACGCCCCGAGACAGCCGAGGCGGGGAGAGAAGCTGCTGCGACAAGCCGTCCGACGGCATGCGCAGCCGGCTCCCTCTCGTGCCCATCGACCGCGGGTGGAAAGTTGTTGGCGAAGGCGGGAGTGGATCCCACCAGATTCTCCAGATAGGTTTACTTGTAGGTGTCCGAGCTCAATGCATAGAGAATGTGTCCAGTGATGCCATTCCCATTCTATTTTTCTCGCGCACGGTCAAACTATTGCAATGGCTTCCTCTGCTATTGCAATGGATTGTTTCCTCTGCTATTGCAGTGGGTTACTCTGGTATCGAAGACGCCAAGGGCGAATCACCGTCGCCCCCTGCCTTTTGGAATCGCCCATGTGGCCGACCGTTTTGGCAAGAGCTCTGCCAAGCTATCGGACCATGTGTTCCCCCAGCCGTTGTGGAAGCCCTTCGGGGAACATTTCGGGGAGGATGGCGGGGAAAATCATGAGGTAAAGGAGGAGGGGGAATCTTGGGAGCCTCTGGGGGCACTCGTGGGAGCTACCTGGGAGCCTCCTGGAGGCATCTTGGGGGCCTCCTTGGGCCTATTGGGGGACTTCGGGGGCTTTTCGGGGACCTCTTGGGCCGTCTTGGGCCATCTTAGAGCCATCTTTCGCCGTTTTGGTGGCCTCCTGGCCCGTCTGACGCTGCCGGATCTTGGGCGCCTCTCTGGGCCATGTTGGGGCCCTCTTGGGGTGTTCCAGGGCCGTCTTGAAGGCAAGCTTGGGCGTCTTGGAGGCCTATTTGGCTGCCTTGCGGGCCTCTTGGGGCCGTCTTGGGGGCATTTGGGGCAGTTTGGGGCCATCGTGGAGGCCTCTTGGCCGATCTTGAGGCGATCTTTGGGAGCTCTTGGGCCGTCTCGGGCCGTCGGAAGGCCGACAAGAAGCAAAAGCCACAATCCTAAAAAAACTAGAGGAAACTCTGTGAATTCGGTTTCCTCGGGCCTTCCTGGAGGACCTCTGTGAGATCTCGTGCGCCGCCCTGGAGGGCCAGGAGCCCACCAAGACGGCCCAAGGTGGCTCCCAGATGGCCCTCTTCCGTAGCCATTTTGGCTCAATTAACACATCTATCGAGCCAGCTGGGCAGGAGCAGCACCTGCCGCGGGTCCAGAGGTGGCCCGCCCTGGCCAGGCATCAACTTCGCGCGCACACCTTTTCCCCCTCTACTTCTGTTCTTCGTCTCCCACTGCACAGCCGCCGCGATGCCGACGTCTCGCCTTCGCCGCGGTGTCACCAAGCGTGAGCCGAGTTCAGGGGCTGGCAGCCGTGCGTCATCACTACAGAGTGGTCGCGACAGCCGTGCATCATCTC